ATTTCTTACAGATACGATACCAAACTGAGAGTTAGGTATGAAGTGGTTAAAATGTTCGTGGCTGCGGATGAGGCCACGCGTAGCCAGAGGGCAGGAGAGTAGAAGGGAGATGAGATCGATGATCTGCATAAATGAATCAATGATCGATTTTTACCCCGAGTTTGGAACGTTAAACAGTATATAGAATTGTACAGAGGAGAATGCATATTTTCTTTCGTTTATATTTTTCATGATGTCTATGTACACGAACTTGCACTAATTTGTCATTTATTGATTGGTTTTCAAAATACTTCGAAGTGAAATTGTATTTATGCGACAGGACGAACTGTTGACGTATCCTGATATGAATTAATATCAATACGGATAAAATTAATATTCATTTCAAGACCTTTGATAATATTTATTAATTACATAGCTCAAAAAGAATTCACGTATTTTTTTCGAAATGACTGTACGCTCTTCGAAGGTATCAAAGCGCCATGAAACGTTTAATATTCGTTCCATTTCCGTATTCCAATGTACCTTAATAAGTAATTTTGACTTTCCATTAACATAAGTTTGCAAATTAATATTTCAAGCTCTGAACAAGCAGTAATAACAGATTTCACGTGAAATTGTATTTCCAGATAATTTATTTTCCCGTATTCTCAAGGTTACCCGCGACATTCGTCATATTTATGGTGCAATTGTGCACCGGATGTAACAATGAGACAAAAGCAGAGTGCGTTTTCTGTTTAAACGGTATTAATGAAGAACACGATCGACAGAGAGATGGAAATTCATTCGATGACGATTCGGTTTATTACTCGATCAAAGTTAATAAACAAAGGACTCGGAAAGGTTTCTCGAATGCATTGCTAACACCTGATTTCACAGTTAGTACTGATTGATATCACAAAAGACCGCGTGTATTCAGTTTATCTGGGATTGAAATAAATTTTCAATCATTTCTATTCATCCGTAACTCCTTGATGAGTCGGCAGTGGGATGTATTATCATACCTATTACAACTTTTAATTAGTAGCCAATAATGGAAGATGAGCCATTAAATGTGTAATGGTATTCAGTCATGTTCATTTGTAGATATGTATACGGTCCTTTGTAATAACAAGCTATAGCAACGAAAGAGGTAGAGGGGTTCGATTAATAAGGTACTGTTAATTAATCTGATAATACTTCGGTTAATTGGTTAATCCGTGTAGAGTGAATTTCACAGTGCCTTTCAAATCCTTCAAGCCATTATAATACAAGCACTATAGATACAAATCATTGCATTATGCTCGTACGTTGTTCATTCGTATGCCGAATTTTACGACAGTCCGTTTTATAGGTTTGACTAGTCAATAATTATGAAACTTGTACCTCAATGCACATGGCTATTGCTCTATTCATCGTGTATTCAATGATGCACTACAATCCTGGTATTACAAAGGTTTCAAAATTTGCTGTAAAGTTATTTTGTACTAAGCAACATCTTCATGTAAGCAGAATATTGAATTACGTTAAGAATCTAAAAGTTATCCAAATCTTCTGCTCTAGAGGTTACTAATACCTGGAATCCACCTACGAGTTCCATATGGCCAACCTCTAGTATACAAATTGTAGACTACAAGTTATACCACATGCTACCAATCAAAATCTCATACTATAACTCCGAGCATCAAAGTCAAAAATAAAACAGTTAGTTGGCAAAACAGTCATGAAACATGACACTGAGAACTCATTATCTATTCTGCTGCTCGAAATAGGATGTACACTAATAAAGATAAGACCTAGAGGAATATTTGTCCAAGAGGAAAGTGATTTTCTCGTGAAAGTTCACGTTGTAGCAATGCCGTGACATGAGCAGCGCTGGCGGAAAAGGAGCAGGGTGATGGTCTGGTTCGCCCAGTGAGGAAGAATGCGGTAGAATCGGTTCATTGAGGCGGCGACTTCAAAAGGATTCGCGCGACGGCGAAGTGGAATTTTCATTATCGGAATACCAGTCACTGTCAGTAAACCTTTTACTGCTTTGATAAGCGTGGTCGAGCCACACTGAAAGGGGACGCGAGAACCAGAAGGGAGATGATAGAAAAAGAGACAGCGAACCCGTGGTTGTGAACCCGTCTTGTCTTGCTTTTCATCCCGAATGACTTTGGACCAGGAGGGCTTGCTTGGTCGACGACTCTTCGTCTTTCGAACGTTTATCTAGATTAGCCTTTGTTTAGGAACGACTGCAAAGGCGGTGAATTCAAATTGTCGTGTAGAGTGAATCGTACAGCGATTGCTTGCACAAAGAGTGACTTCATCCCTGTTACTCTTCAACCTTTTGTTCTTACAGGGCTTATATAGACTTTGACTAGACCGTTGATTTACACTCATGCAGATTATCTCAGTGATTTATATGATATATGTATTAAAACATGCAATTTGTGTGTATTTGTGCTCGTTAATTTTAATCTCTTTGACATTTCAATGATAAAAAACTTGATGCAAGATACAGTCATCTATCCTCTTTTTCGAATGACTGATTTTCGAATCTTTCATCCCTATGCCCACGACTCCCGGAAGCCCTATATACCCGGAACTGTTCCGTCTAGGACTGCGGCTGCTTTCGAGCGATTCGGTTTAATGCAAATAAAAGTGGCCAACCGCAAGCCACGAAGGGAAGTTACTCGTAGCTCCACGGGGAAAAGGGAGCCCTGCTGGTTAGAAGGGACGATGCCAGTTGATGGCATGCTTCGTGAGTCTCTGATGGAAAAATTGAAAACCGTGTATATGCACTGTTGCTCGAGGAGATATGGGACAAGTCGTAAATTTGACCGGGTGTTAAATATGCATGTTCTCGTGTCTCTAGAGAAACGGGTTAAAGGTGAATTGGCAAACCAGGAATCGAGGGTTATTTAGAGTTACAAGAAGAGTTGTAACTCTGGTATCTTTTTATTAGCCCTGCTTAGAAGTATATTTTGGCTGATTTCAGGTTACATTTGGATCTTTCTATGTTTTTCTATTATTCACCTAATTTTATTAATTTTAATTTGCAGGAATGAAAATCATTTTTTAGTTATATAAATAACTAAATATAGACTAAATATAAAAATATCGTCTGGGTTCCAATCGATGTCATTATGTTTAAAGCCAACGTATTGAATCACATTCTGAATAATTCTATTACTTATTGTTCTACCTTACTGCACAGATTGTTACTGGAGCGTCTTGCAATTGGAAGCAGCAGGACTTGCTTCTTAGAGAACTTTTTGTAGAAGAGATAAGTATCTAAAACAATTCAGTTAATACCACAGAGGCTAGGAAACGTATTTTATTCTTGTTACTGGGAAAAAATTTAAAAATGAGTTTACTATAATCCTAATTAATTGGCCTTCGATATTTAGTAATATATATCAATTCTATTATATTTTCATGAAAAATCTCAGTATTAAGTCAAACGTTGTAATTGTTTCCTTAATCTTGAATATTATAGGTAACATTATATCAATGTTTAAGAAATCATTTCAAAAAATATATAATGCATTCAGAGATATAAATTGTTAGAAAAGAATCTAATTCCTTACATTTATAAAATGAGGTTTCTCCAAAGGGTTGCCTGTATTTGGAAGATTATGTTATTCGTTAGTACGTTAGTCTTCCTCTAAGTCTAGCGCTTTAAACAACCTCTATGTGCGAGCCGAATGCGTTCCTGCGCTAGATTTCAATTCCTCAAATTAATTTGTGCGATGTTCCCGAGTAAGATGCATAAGAGCGCAACCTTAACTTTAAGTTTTACTTGAAAGATATACTTCCGAACTAATTAAGAGCTAAGACCAAATTACGAAGAAACATCAGCTGCGTTGGAAGTTTGCTCCATACTACACTTGAAAATCTGTTATCCCATCTTTTTATATATAAATGACATAGAAATTCTGCTTAAACATGGAGGTACTCATATACTTGCAATTTTAATACCTCCACAGTCAGTATTTTAAAAAAATGAACGTGAATTTATTTAAACAATATACTCGTTTTTCTAGTAATCGTGGCTAAATATTTCTGTCAAAAGTTCTCTTTTATCATGAGGTAAACAGAAATTATATTCAATCGCATTGCACGTCACGTTTAATACAAAACATTATAGGAAGTATATTCTATACAATTACATCAATGCATTCAGTAATGTAAATTGAAGCAGATTATACGAAATAAAGAGAAAGGTAACTTCGCTTCAACATTTTTGATAATCTGTTTATCAGAAAATGAGGTTATAAAAATATAGGAAAAGTTAATTTCAATATGAAGAATATAAAAGAAGGAAATATTCAAATATTTGAGTAACAACTTCAAGCTAGAACTAATATTTTATCACCAATAATATAGTCGAAATAGAAAATTATTAAATATTAATAATTTCCAGAATGTAAGCAATATTATAGTACAAAATAGTTTTCCTCACAATGTTAGTGATATCACAAGTAAGACTGATACTTAATTCCTTTCCATAATTCTTCTCTACTCTAAAAATAATTTCAGAAAACCACGTATCAGGCAATTAATCTATATAGAATACTCGTGGCGCATGCTGTAGTCATACATAGTATACGCATACACACAGAGATCCTGCCGATCAACTATAGCCTCCTGTAATGTGCATAGAACGCTTTGTCATAGGCGATAATAGTCAATAGTCGTATATATCATACGAAAATCGTTTCGTGTTAAACGCCTACGTATAATCGCGAACCGTGGAATACAGTGGTTATTTCGTACTGAATCAGTCTATCCGTCAGTGATAAACACACACTGGTCGCTTCGACGCGAGCTGTTGCACTCGCTCGTAGTAAACAAAGATGGCGAATGTCACGTCACGGCCGCGGCGTAGTTACAACAAACGTTACGACGAATATCACGAGCGACTACAATCGCAAAACTATCAGTAGTCCGGCTTTAATATTCACACGAAGAGTCGCGCTATCGAAACAACTCCGTCGACGATAAAATATGAAATATAATTTACTGAAGGTACTCACCAAAGGGCCAATTGGTAATGCAGGATCGCACGATTCGGTTGCGACGTGTCTCGTAGGAAGTTGGCGAAGTTGTAATGCATCTTGGCGTTGTGGGGAAGAGACCGCAAACCCGCCCTGTAAATAACGCGATTTGTGGTTACGCACGAGGCACGCCATGTCGACTTCGACGCGAGCTACCACTCTGCGCGGCACGCGTTTACGTTCGGTATCGCTCGCGCTCGGGCCACTTCGGCAACCTTCGCCGATGCTCGCTCGGGCCACCTCGGCAACTATCGCCGATGCTCGCGCGCGTACACGAGGAAGCGGCCCGCGTCAACCTTGCCGAAATTATGCCGCGATTTATGAATTACGGAGCCGCTCAGCGAATGAACATTTTCTCGTTGCTCTTTGCTTTCTGGTTCTTTGACCTGGATTTTTCTTTTCAGGTCAAATGTTACCATTTTGCAGGCGAATTTAATGTACGATACATAGCTTATGGCTAGTCCAACGATATAAATTTTGTTCTTTATTTTACTTTTACTATTATAATATGAATTTTAAAGAATGTGTTGTATTGTAGAGGGTAATAGTTTACCGTCTTTTATTGGAATAATGAAAAGTATTCGTTTTAAATTCAATTTATTCATAGACTTTTGAAGTATTGCAAATAGGTTAGTCGCAAATATGGAAGGCTTTCTGAATATACCATGTATTGAAGAAATTACATGCTTAGTAGCGATTTGATTATAAAAAGATTTTGCAAACCATTTGTTTCCAGTGCTGTTTGACACGTGAATTATTTGAACATTAAACTACTATTCGTAATATTCGAAGCTAGATATAAGTTGGGTTAAAAGAAAGGAATACGTGAATTTCAAATTACTGAACACATTTTAATTTCTGCCACACGAAACAAAGGAAAGAAGGACTAATATTATTTAAAAATTTTATTAACACTGCGTTGAAGAATTAATTAATAAATTCTCTTTACCTTTTACATATATTGATTAATACGTTGTGCTTTATCATATGACGTTTTCGGTATTTTTCATGAATGTAAGTCCTTACATTTCTCTACAGATATGGAATGCTGTCATAGGGCATAATCCACAATAAAGATTCTCGCTATAAATCAATAATATTTGCCAGCTCTTGTCCGTAACAATAATTCAGCGATTATACCAGTGACTTTTATTTTTTAACGATCTCTTCGGTACTAAATATTCTTTATCACAATTGTAACTTTGGACACCATAAAACTGAACATCCATTACCGTGAGACCTCATATTCTTACATTTTTACAACCTTCCAGGTAATTTCTTCGTTGCGGTAATAAAGTACCGTCGGCTCACCATAAAGCACAGAGATTTTCTTTTCAAAAATTCGGTCGGAAAACGTTCTGGACGAATTTTTTTAAACATTCATAAATTCCCCGAGTGTTTCACGAATAACGATACATCCTCTGCTGCCTTCCCCTCGCCTCTCTCATCGCAAAGGATACCATTTCGACCAAAATCTCTTTGTTCACGCGGCTTCAGTCCGAAATTCTGTTAGTCCCATTTACGATCGCGTGGAAAAGAAATCGTACGTCAATTTTGCATCATCGTCATTGGCAAACATTCAATGATTCCACTCTGTTCGGCCATTGTATTCCGTTCTATTATCGACGGGCTCGTTATCAGCTGGGTGTTATTACAGCTTCCTCGTATGGCAAAAGATAACATTCTCATCACTATTTAAGAATTTGTGCGTAACTAACCAAAAAATGAAGTGAGACGCCGCGCGATTTTTCTTTAAATACTGTCTTTTACCGTTTCGTTATCAAAGATAACCATAGTCAGTCACTATTTCGTGCTGATTAATAACTTTGTTGTTACTATAATTCAACAGCCTCCCGAATGTCATTATGACATTTATCTGTTTATACTTCGTTCTACAATCTGTCATAGAAATATTCTCATACAGAAACTAATTATTCAATTTGCCTTTTCCACACTTTCATTAGTTCATACCTAACATCTGTATTAAATATATTCTGTAGTATATTCTCATGATGAAATCCTTATATTAAAGAAATCAATATATATACCATATATTTTACTATGAAAATGAAATTACGAGTGAGAATATTTTTGGAACAGACTGTATACTAGTCTGAAGTAACTTCTAGGTTGTAGATTCGAGGCTCAACTGTCCTGTATAGTGATATGCTGGTGGCTAACTGTGCCATAGAGGAAAGGCAAAGGGGGCTCTACAAACCTGAGCAGAGTTTCTCTAGACGTCCAGTCTCTGTTTCGAAGCACCGTCTTGTAGCATCCTAAGAGTAGAAGCAGAACGATCCCAGTCGTGATCAAATTTCTTCTGCGAGGAATGGCCGTCCAGCTGATTTGCATCCCATACACGACCAGGAGGATCCATCCGACACTGCAAACGTTCATTCTTCATTTTCTATTTCAATCAACCTAATTATGTAGCTATGTCGGCGGTCTCTCAGCTTTTACGGTACACAGTGTCGTGATTTGAAATTTAGCAAGTATGGCAATGTTCGAGAGTATGTGATAGGTAATGCTATTGTGCATGGTCACAGTAGTAGACATTAAGAAGGATTAGAGCAGTGTTATGGAGACATTTGGTCTCTAGACAGCACCGGTGTTACTAAATATGAGAAAACACTATTACCGTGCAACCAAACTTCCACAATACCAATTACGACAAAAGTAACGAAATCGTATTAGTACAAAATTAAGCTTGAGCAGTTCTACATTTGCTGAATGCAAGGAAACGTTGCAACGAAGCCATTCGTGTGGTATACTGAGTTAATTCGATATAAAGATTTCATCTTTATTATAATTTGACTTTATTATACATTTAAAGAATTGCACTAATATTTGATAAGCATGATTAAAAAATTTCATTCTAAGATGTACATAGACAAATAGAAATAGTAATCAATAATGTCTAATAATCGCTGACATTGTTTTGATATTTGCTTAAACGAAGGCATACACGAATGTTAAATGTAATATTCCAATATATTATAATTCAAGACATTTAAACGTATGGAAATATAATTTTCAGGAAATATCAGTTATTGTATTACCGGTGATTAAATTTCTTGTATTTTCCTTTAAATTCTTTTAGTATTTCTTCCAATCGTGATTAATTGCTCACAGAATGACAAATGAAGTCAAGTCCACAGTTACTTGGAGATTTAGCTACTTTCTAAAATTGTTAATTACCTGGGCATGTAGAGTACACGTTCCGCGACGACGAATCCAACGGTAATAAAAAGATTGGATGCGGGCAGGAACGGCAGTACCAGGAACATCCAACCAAGAAGAAGAGGCGGGTGCCTCTGTTGCTGAAAATGAAACACAAGTTGCTGCTTTAGACGACGTGAAAAGCGTTCCAACCTCGAGACGAAATTGCACCGTGTTCCCGCGGAATGTTATGTCAGCCACTAACCGCGTATTAAATAAGCTTTCTACGAGCGAAGAACGCAAAGCTCGCGTTCCTCCGTTGTTTTCTTCGTTTCTCCATTGCGAACGATCGAAACCGTGTCATGTACGCGTCAGCGACGTTTCGAGTGTCTTCTGTGTGGTGCATGTCATGCTAACCACAGCACTGAACTCTCTGTCTACTCAAAGTGGTATATAACACATTAAATGCCATTGGGGCTACGAAATTTATTTAAATGACAGCACGGGTATTCATGAAAATATTTTACCACTTGAGTAACTTTTACTCAGTCAGTCTCCTACAGTGTATCTCTGTAGCCAATAATTTATTGCATTCTTCAAGTATTAGAGCATCAGGGTAAATGTTTGTTGAAAATATATTTCGAGATATTTTCTGCTTTATTGGTATTTAATTTTATTTAAGACAAACTGCGTACTTAATTTAACTGAGTAATTCCGTACTCGACTATATTAATGACTTCTCAAGTTTTAGTTGCATTTTTAATTTAATAATGCTATTTATAGAAGTGACGAATTTTGTTTTGCGACATTAATATATAGGATGTTTCATTAACTCTGTCAATTTTAAATATCTTTATTATTACAAATGATAAGCAAAAATATTTTGCAAGGAAATTGTGTGGTTGGATGAATATATATATGATATACAGGCAGTGACATCTTCGCTTTTGCTGGTTTGGCTAGGTTTGGTTAGGTTAGGTTAGGTTAGGTTAGGTTAGCTTATTAGGTTTATTTCCTATACTTCTATTTGCTAATAGAAAGGTTCACCTGCTTTCTTCTTAAATGGAATATTCCCTCTTTTATACCGAGATTCGGTAGAATAGCGAATGTGATGCAAGAATTTCTGCTTCCGCCGTTCAATTTCATCCATTTCACTGAAGCGTCGAATATAGTGCAAATTGGATACAGTTTGTTGGACATCCTGCGTAGTTGTTTGCGAAGATTCGGTGAAAAAGTAATACCAGGATGTTTAATTCCTTGTTTGCCGGGTATCCGTGCTAATACGACTCATTTGCGATAATAAAATGCCACTTGATGTTTTCCACACATCCAATGGCTTGTTAAGGTTGATAAATATTTGGACAAATGTCGCGACAATTTTTGGATATTAAAGAGGAAGAAGCGAATAAAATGAAACCGCAAGATTCGATATGGCAGGGCAGCGGTTCAACGAACGAAGAGTCCAGCATTGGATTCAACGATTCGATCGAACGTTCCTTTCCTCTCCGCGATCACTACAGGCGAAATTTGTTTTCCTGGCCCCTGGCTTTCCCGTTCCTTCAAATTTGGAATTTTATGCATGACTCGAGACCACCGTTCAACTCAACGAATGGGACCGTAGACGGTTACCATTTGGACATGCAAGAGGATGTTACACTGGAAATCTTGATGGACCTACTAGATAGCCAAGTAAAAATTTACAATTTCTATTATTATCTCCGGAAGAAGCCAACGTTGAAAACATAACCTCCTTTTTCGGAATAATATGGTCCTCATTCGTTGAAAATTATCAAGTACCATACTTCGTTTACATGTACAGATCCACGATATAATCACTATCCCTAGGATAACACAGAAAGATGATGGCACAGATCCAGAGCATGGGTTTCGAATTTTGTGTACAAAGTTTAAATTGAAAATGTATAAGACAGTGC